ACCATTGGCACGAGTTGCTTGTTCACCTCTGTAACACGACGGGCGGCGAGCTGGCCAGGCCACCAGCTCCACGAATAAATACATGGCTCATCTCAACTGTACAGGGCGCGGGCCGAGCTGCGGGGCAGCGCTTCTTGCCTGGAAGAGACGCCGGCCCCTGGGCTGCAGGGAGGAGGAGGAGGAGGCAGACCTGGCTCAGATCTCAGTGGCGATGATGTCCTCGTAGGGGACGTCAGCACCGGGGATGTCCAGCTCGATGGGCTCCTTGCCGTCTTCCCCTGCGGCGAGCTGCTGGAGCATCTTCTCCAGGTTCTGGTTCCTCTTGTACATGTGCAGGTAGCTCTGCTGCAGCTGCTTCTGGTAGTGAATCACCTTCTCCTTCTCCTCCTTCCACGTCTGCCGCTCGTGCTGGAAGCCGGAGGTCATCTGCTCGTTGTTGTCCCGCTCAGCCTTCAGCTCAGCCCGCAGCCTCTCCAGCTCTCCCTGCAGGGCTTGAGCATCGTCCCCCGCGGCGCGGGACCTGCCCACCTCCCGGGCGTCGCTCAGCTGCTCCCTGAGGACGGCCAGCTCCGTCCGCAGGTCCACGATCTCCTGCTCCAGCAGGTTCACCTTCTCCCTTAGCAGCTCAGACTCGTTCTTCTTGCGCTGGAGCTCGTTCTCGCACACCTCCAGCTCCATGGCTTTGGTGCGCAGGGAGCCCTCCAGGTCCTGGGTCTTCATCTCCAGCCCTTCCATCTTCATCCTCACCTCCTTCAGCTGAGCCTTCAGGCTGAGGATCTCGGTGGTCTTGGTGTTGAGCTCTGTTTGGGATTCCTTCAGCTGCTGCTTCAGGAGGGAGATCTCCCCCGACTTCTGGCACACCTGCGGGGGGGATGCGGCACCTGCGTTAGGGCTGCGCCTCGGACAGAGCCCCCTGCACCCAGGGTACCCCCTGCCAGCCGTACTGCGCACCGCTGGTGTTTGGCAGACCCCTGACACAAAATCCCACCCAGGGAGATGCCCCTGCACGGGGAGCAATGCCCCAGGCTCCCGGGGGGCTGGAGGGGACCCCAGGCTCCCTGTGCAGTGACACCCCAGCTGACACGGAGGGCTGTGAGTGACAGCTGCGAGGGTTTAAGGAGCTGCTGCGGTGTGGAAATGGAGAGTGTAGGAGAAGTGCTCAACTCTCAATGCCCCGTTTGCCGAAACCACCGCTGACAGCTCCCACGGTCAGTTAAACTTGCTGAGCTTGTTCTGCCAGCAGACACCTGACTGCACCCCACAGCATCGCAGCGGGGAGCAAAGCACACAAACCCCGCCGGAGCATCCCCCCGGAGCATCCCGCTGGAGCATCCCGCCGGAGCCCAAAGCGGGGCTGGTCCAGCTGCTGCTGGAGACAGCTGTTGGGGGTCTGGCATCCAGCCGCGCTCGGGGGGACCTTGCGGCTGCAATCTCGGTAGGGGCTGTGATCAGGCTGGGAAGGTGGCTGGAAAATGTGAATAGACTAGAGACACGGAAAGTGATGTGAGAAACTTCTGCATGCGAGGGAGCGAAGGCTGAGCAACAGCGCTGCTGCTCCCTGCACAGCCACACCGAGGTGAGATCGGTGGGTGGTGTTCAGACGGGTGTGCAGGCTCGCTTCTGAGTTTTCAGCAGTTTAATGGTTGGTCTTTATTCTGAAACCGGACCAGTGAGAAAATTAAGCTTAAGCCCCGAGCGGAAGGTTTTACTCCTCTCTAATAAATGACCGTGGCAAGCCCAAATAGTTCCTGTTTCCACGCAGGATGGCAGCTTGACTGCTCCTCAGGGGCAGGCAGCCTGACAAACCCTGCTGGAAATGCCAAGTTATTTTAATGACGGGGTTTTTTTATGCAGCAGCTGTTTCCTTATAGGATGTGAAGCGCTGGGGGGTTAAGAGGGGCCATGAGTCGCTCTGTTATAACTTGCAGAGCCTCCCCGTGGCAGACTGGGGCTCTCCTGGTGCCGGAGCCATCGCTCTCCGCGCGCTTTGCTTTTGGCATCGGCAGCCCGAGGTGCTGCCTGGTGCCACTTACCTCCCACTGGGTCTCCTCCAGCGCTGGGGCGAAGCTGGTTTTCTCCTTCTCGTAGGACCTCAGCTTGGTCTCCAGCAGGTTTTGCTCTTTCATGAGGTTCTCCAGCTCCTCCCGGAGCTGCTTCTTCTCCTGCTGCAGCTGGAACACCTGGAGGTGAAGGACCTGCTGCGTCCGCTGGGTTTTCTGCGAGGTTTGCTTGAGCTTGCTGTTGCATTTCTGCTTCAGACCCTCCAGCTCCTCCTTGCAGCGCCGCTGCTTCTCCTCGTACGCCTGGCAGGAGCTGACTTCCTTCTCCTCGAAGCTCAGCTGA